CTCCTCCTCCTCCTCCTCCTCCTCCTCCTCAAGGTGGCAGCCCTTGACTTACGTTGCCGATGGGAACGTCGGAGTTGGAATGAGGAGGAGGAAGAGGAGGTGGAGGAGGAGGAGGAGGAGGAGGAGGAGGAGGAGGAGGAGGAGGGGGAGGGGGAGGAGGGAGGGGAATAAGGAGGAGGGGCACGAGCAGGAGGACGGAGAGCGGGGGGGGGCAAGGAAGAGGAGGAAGGCGAGGATCTAGCAATAGAAAACAACATAAGCATAGTCCTTTAGGGGGCAGCTGTGCGAAGAGCAGCGGGAATGAGGAGGGGGCCCAGAGGGGGAAGAAAAAGAGAAGACGGAGGAGAAGGAGAAGGAGAAAGAGGAGAAGTGAAGAGAAGTGACCAGTGCAAACCCAAAATTTATCATCGAGATTGCAATAAACCCTTCCCCCAAGCTCCCTCTTCGTAGACCCTTACAAGGATTGATTTTCATTGCGGGAAGTGCCTTGTTGGGAGACAACCGGTTGTAAATCCAGAATTGTACCAACCCTTGAAGCACCTGCAAGCTCTTAAGACGAATGCGCGCGGCGCTAAGGCGAGAGCCACATACAAAAAACGGCTGCCCTCCATCCGTGCCACCCGTGCAACTTGTACGACAAATGTGCGCGGCGCGAAGGCGCGAGCCACATTTTGAAAACGGGCTGCCCTTCATCCGTGAAGCTCTTGCCAATGTGTGCGACGAATGTGCGCGGCGCCAAGGCGAGAGCCACATTGTGATCACGGGCCACTCTTCATCCGAGAATCTCTTGCAAATTTTGAAGACTACAGTGCGTGGCGCTCAGGCGAGAGCCACGTTTTGAGAACGGACCGCCCTCCATCCGTAAAGCGTTTGCAAGTTTTTAAGACGAATGTGCGCGGCGCTAGGGCGAAAACAACACTTTGCAAGCGGTCCGCCCTACATCCGTGAAACTCTTGCAACTTTCAAGCTTCAGGATCATGAATGGTGAGGAAGTCTCAGGCGAAACGCCGGGCCCGCCCTTTCGACCGGCTTCGGGGTGCGATAGGGAGCAGCTACTTACAAGGAACAGGGATGGAGGAGGAGGAGGAGGAGGAGCAGGAGGAGGAGCAGGAGGAAGACGAGGACGAGGAGGACTAGGAGGAGGAGGAGGAGGAGGAGGAGGAGGAGGAGGAGGAGGAGGGGGAGGGGGAGGAGGAGGGGGAATCGAGGAGCACGAGGACGTGGAGGTGGAGGAGGAGGAGGAGGAGGAGGAGGAGATCTGGGGTGGTTTCTGCGTTCTCTTGGCCTCCCGGGGCCAGGCCGAGGGGAGTCTCGACGAAGGGGGCGCGCCGATCATTCCCATCGCCGTGCGAGGGCCGGCCACTCTGATGCGGACTGCCTTCCGCACGGTCCCTGGATGGGCCTCGCAGGTGGCCCGCCTGCATGAGCTGACTCAGTGGACGCTTCCGTTGGCGGCGGTTGGCCGCCGCAGGATGGCGCCGGCCTGGTGGCTCGAGCCGCCGATCGTGCACGCTGGCTCGTTGCGAGACGCTGGCCGGAAGGGGGGAACGCCCTGGCCAACGCAGCAGCCGCGGCGCCGGCGAGCACGCCGGATGGCCCAAAAGTCACGGCTCATTTCGTCTCTGACCTCCACCTTCGCCTCCTCCCCTTCCAGCTCGAGCCTCTTCTGGCAGAGCGCCTGCTCCAGTGGTTCTCCCCATCCCTCCCGGAACCCCGGGCGGCTTCTGCTCGGAGTTCGCGCGTGCGGAGCTGATGGCGCTGACCTCCCAGGTGGCGGTGCGCGGTGATCCGATCCTGGTCGGGGGGATATGGGTGCCTACCACTAGGCTGGCCAATTCTGATCTCGGAGGCGGAAAAGAGGGGGGTGATGACTAGGGGGGGTGGATATCATGGCGTGGGCCATGATATTTCCCCAGATTTCATGGCGCCTCTTCTTATTTCAATACGTCCCTGGCCCCCCCGCTTGGCCGCGCACATGCCGCCGGTCATGATTTGCACCCCCCCCTCTTGAACACCCCCCTCTTGGCCGCTCCCGATGATGAAGGCTGATTGAATTGTTGGGATGTGGCAAGGGCAGTAGGGCTTCGATGAAGCACCACATCACGCGTCAGAATCTCAGCTGACGTCAAGCTCGTGCCCAGGGTTTTGATCTACCTTTGGATCCCCTCGAAAGGGTTCGGTCTCGATGTTACGACGGGCGAGCTTCTAGTCGGATTTAAATATCTGGCGCTCTGCAATCATGTCCGCCGTGTTCTGCATGCCGGCTGGCACAGTGTCCATGTAGGAACCCAAAGCGGCGTTGGAGAGAGTTCGATCTGCCTTACAATATACGGAGCTGGCGTCTGTCGAGTAGTGGAGGTTTGGAATCTCGCCCCCCGTCGACGCTGCGCCTCCTAGCGCACCTTCTTCTCCTCCACATTTCCCATCCTCTTCAGTTTACTCCTTGTCATCCGCTTCATCCTCAGGAGGCTCATAGGAGAGAGGGGGGAGGCAGTGAAAGGGGAGCGATAGAAGGATATTGGGATCAGTAGGTCGTAGAAGGAAGGGGGAGGAAGAAAATTTATGGAAGCGGGAGAGGTGAGACCTAAGTTTTCTGGTGGTCGTCATCCTCCTCCTCCTCCTGCCCCCTTCTTCCTCATATCACTCCTCCCCCGTCCTCGTCGCCACCATCCTTTTCAATGTAGGCTGAAGAGGTGGAGGCGGAGGAGGAGCAGAGAAAAGGAGAGAGAGAGAGGGGCAGCGAGCAAGAGAGAGAGATCGACCGACAGAGAGGCGCAGCAGCTGAAAACCATTGCGTTTTTTTCAGGTTTCCAGGTCGTGCGGTTGAGAATGGTGGAGTTTTCCAGATGTTTCATGGTTGGGGAACGTTGTGTTTTCATATTTTCAAATTCTTCAGATGGTTCAAACTTCCAGAAGCGATTGGCCAGACTGCACAGGCTTCCCAGGGAATCCGAAACAGCACAGCGCGCTTTAGTAACCCAGAAAGTGTTCAGTATCTGAGCAATGCGGAAAACATAGTATTGTTCATCTACACGGGTTGGAAAACCTGGACCACAATGGTTTTCAGCTGTGTGGTCGCGCTTCTGGCGCAAGGGGGGAGGAGGAGGAGGCGGAGACGGGGGAACAGCAGGAGGAGGAGGAAGAGGAGGAGGAGGAGGAAGAGGAGGAGGAGGAAGAGGAAGAGGAGGAGGAGCAAACGATCAGTGAACTTGTGGTGGCCTGGGTGGTCTGGGTGGTTTGGTGTTGCGTGCGTGGGGGATATATTCGTATGTACATCTGTATATATACACATATGTACCCATCTACGTACACATTCCTATATATACATGTTTTTTTTTAATATATACACATCCAAATGTGTGTGCGAATCATATGTAAACGTCCACGCATCGATTTGCTGAAATACGTCGGCGTAGGGACTTTTACGGACCTTCAAGGACAGATGGCTCGCCACTGTCGTGAAATCTCATCCTGTGATCCCTAAAAGACTCATCAGGGTCCTCAAGGACTACCAAAGAACGTGTAGAAACCAGGCCTGCAGTTTTCGAGGAAACTCGCAGGAATATTCGAAGGGCTTGCACGATCTTCAAGGACATCGAAAGACCACCAGAACCATATGATCATCACCAACATGGACGCGCTCTCAGGGCTTTGGATCCCCAGCGATGATGTAAGATCGCCCAAGACACCCTAGAATCAGCAAGGGTACTTAGGACGCTTGCAGGGCACCCCAGGGATCTTTACAGAGCGCAAGCATCATTTCAGGATAGCGAAGGACTTCCAAGAAACTTCAAGGGGACCCTGGCGAACAAAGGCTTTTGATTGATCCTTCGAGCCATATTGCGGACTTGCATGGGTCCTCAAGGGATGTTCGCGCGCCTTCGGGCACCTTCCAGACACTTCTCGCGCAAGCCGAAAATATTCTCGCAACACCTCTTCCCCCTCCTCAGCTTCTCGCTCCCCATCGCAAGAAACATGAAAATCAACATCCTCGCCGTCGTCCTCGAATGTCTGGCTCCTCCAGCAGAGAGGAGCTGCATTTTTTTTACTCGAGCACGTGACGCGCGTTATGTGGCCTCCAACCCACCCGCCCACAAAGTAGATAACGTAATGCCCTCCGTTGCACCCAGCCCGGTTGCAGCAGCGCCTGTTGTTTAGCGCACAGGTATGCTGTTCGTAGTACGTGCGCAACGTGTGTTTTTTTACGTGCCGGCGCACCCGCCCGCCCACCCAGCCACATCACGCGCGTTATGTTTTCTGTACAAACACATAGTAACAAACACACAAAAAACACTTGGGCTCGAGTGGGAAGGGGATGGGAAGGGGAGGGGAGCTTGGAGAGAGGCAGGCACGGCGCGTGCGGTCCACGTCTGGTATTCTGGCCCCCCCACGTATCCATCCGTTCTCGTTGCGCGGGTTTTTGTTTTCATCCGCCGGCCGGGTGTCCGAGGTGGCCTTTGGCCCCAACAGCGGCCACATCAGATGATGCTTAATCAGGATGGGGGGGGGCTTTATACACTGGACAAGGAGGAGGTGGAGCAGGAGAATGAGCTCGAGGAAGATCAGGAGAATGAGGAAGGAGCAGGAGCGGGAGAAGCAGGAACGGCAGAGAAGTGAAACCGACGGGGACCGCAACGACGAGGAACGACTCGTATCCGGAAATGCGCCATGCGCTGGGGCGAGAGCGTAAAGTTGAACGACGGGAGCAAAGCGCTGATCCTGAAATGTGGCCAACGGTGCGCCCACTTCCCTTTGCAAGAGGACGACGAGCAAGGGGACGGGGAACGACGAAGACGACCAAGATGGAACGGAAGGACGAGGCCGAGGACGATAAATGACGAAGAAGAAGAAGAAGAATAACAAAACATAAGAAAAAGAAAAAGAAGAGGAGGAGGAGGAGGAGGAGCTGGTGTGAAAAAAAACTACGCCAGGATTTCAGGGAGGGCCCTGGCGCCGCCGCCGCGTCAAGCCAAGCCGCCCCCGCGGCGAACCGCCCGAAGGATGGTCGCCAGATTCTTGCTGCGGGAGGTGCCCGTCCGGTACGCCGAGCGCATTCGGTCCATCGAGGCGGCGTCGCCGGGGGGGGCGCCCTGGGGAAACCAGCCGCCGCAGGGCAGACAGGTCGAGGCTCGAAAGTCGTCGTACGTTTCTGGAGGGGGGCCTTTGAGCCCTTCTCGTCCCTCCTCCCTCTCCCTCCTCCTCCTCCTGCTCCTCATTGTCCCTCCTCATCCCTCGTCTGCCTCCTTCTCCTCCGCCTCCTCCTCCTCCCTCTCCATCCTCCTCTTCCTCCTCCCCCTACTCCTCCTATGGCATGAATGGTGTTCTGGCACGGTGTAGGATTGCCAGGACGCAGCAATCACGTTGAGTCGCGGAGTTGAAGGTCCAGGGGTGGCGGCCTGGCACTACTGCGAAGGCCTTACCCAGGAGGAAAATAAACACACAGACACAACTAATCCTCGATTTCCCAGAAAATATGGGACAATATGGGAAGTGGGCGGGAAGACAGAAACCCAGAAAATATGGGAAAATATAGGGGATCTTTTTATTCGTGTGTATTTATTTGTGTGTCCTGGGGCCCCTTCACTTACGGCCAGCACGGCCGACCCTAAAGGCGGGACCTTCCCCAGGACCTCCATTGGCGACACGCCCCAGAACCCGCCCCCGGACCCCAGGTGGGCGGTGTGCCCCGAGGGGGTGGTATGCTGACCCAGGACCCCCCCACCCCCTCCCACCCCTCCCAACCACCCCACTTTCACCCAGCAGGCATAGGATAAAGGGAATGGGTTTCCATTTTCTCCTTGCTCCTTTCTCTAATTTGGACTGACGACGACGACGACGACGACGACAACGACGACGACGACAGGGCCTTCCACAGGCTGAAGGGTCGGCGGATTTAGGATCGCCCGGACGCAACAGTCCCATGAATATGCTCTGGCACGATTGAAGATTCTCAAGCAGCTGCCTTCCAATGGGGCACTTCCCGCAGCTAGAATTAAATCCTTGTACGTATTCATCAAGCGGGAACTTGGAGGGAGGGTTTCTTGAAACATAGTTGATGCGTGTTTGGTTTACAGTGGTCCTCCTCCTCCTCTTCCTGCCTTCCTTCTCTCTGCAATTACACGATATGAATACTATCATCCTCTCTCCCTTGAAGTTGTTCGGAACATGTTCCCCGACCCAACCGAGTTTGGATTTTTATTCGGGATTCGGCAAGTCTGGTTTCGGATTTTGAAGAGGCCTTGCGGCCAGTGCCGCCGACCGTGAACGATGACGACGACGACGACGACGACGACGACGACGACGACGACGACGACGACGACGACGACGACGACGACGACGACGACGACGACGACGACGACGACGACGACGACGACGGCGGCGGCGGCGGCGGCGGCGGCGGCGGCGGCGGCGGCGGCAGCGGCGACGGCGACGGCGACGGCGACGGCGACGGCGACGGCGACGGCGACGGCGACGACGGTGACGAGCGCTCTCGGGGGCCTCTTGGGGCCTCTTGGGAGCCTCGTGGGGGCCTCTTGGGGCTCTCTGGGGGTTTCTTGGGGGCCTCTTGAGGCCTCTTGGGGGGAATCTTGGGAGCTTCTTGGGGGCCTCTGGGGACCTCCTGGGAGCCTCTCAGGCCGAGGGCTCGAAATGTCCGTTCGGGTCCCCCGTCTGGGCTCCCTCTTGGAACCGTCTTGGGGGCCTCTTGGGCTGTTTTGGAGGCCTCTTGGGCGGTCTTGGGGCCCTCTTGAGTCGTTTTGGGGTCCTCCTGGACGCCTCTTCGGCGATCGTTGGGTCCTCTTGGGCTGTCTTCGAGCGTCGGGAAGCCGACAAGGGGAGAACGCCACAATTTTTCATACAGGGGAAATCGGTGATAGTCGCCCCTTTGGGGCCCCTTGGAAGTGCTCTTGGAGGCTTCTTGGGGCGTTTTGAAATCGGTTGGGATGTTGGAAGCTACTTTGGCGTCTTGGACCGATAGTCCGGGGTTCAGGGCCCTCGCGGACTATATTGGGGGCCTTTTGGAGCACCCTTACCGCGTCTTGGGGCTTCTCCGGGCCCCGGAAGCGCCCAGGGGGGACGCGTGTCTGGGCGGCAACCCGCCCCCCGAGACCCCCCCCCTCGCCCCCCCTCCCCTCCCCCTGCGGGTAAGGGATCAAAGGGAAGGGGCTTCCTTCGCGGGCGATGTTTCTCCCCCAATCCCCGAGTTTCGCCCGAAAAGTCTGGCCGCTCAGAAGAATGGGAAAACCCTGGGATACACCCCAAGGGGGCTATTCGGACGCACCCCTATCGAGAATGGACACCCCCCCATCGTATATCTCAGGGTTAGGCCCCAAATTTCTGGTCCATTCGGAAACCCCACGAAGCCTGGGATAGGTGTCGACATATCCCCTGTTATTCCTTTCGACTCAGCTGCGACGTTGCTCAATGTCGCTGTGGCTTGCGCGCTGACCGAGACCCGACCCTGCAGGTGGGGAGGCCCCCCCCCGCATCCACAGCGGAGCAGCAGCCTCCCCCGCCTCCCCCTCCTCCTCCTCCTCCTCCTCCTCCTCCTCCTCCTCCTCCTCCTCCTCCTCCTCCTCCTCCTCCTCCTCCCCCCCCTCCTCCTCCTCCTCTGCCTCCGCCTCCTCCTCCTCCTCCTCCGCCTCATCCTCCTCCTCTTCCTCCCACACGCATTGGAAGAGGTACGGGATCAGTTTATCCAAGCGGGTCTTGGCTCGGGCATGCCTAACTTCGAGCAGTCTTACCTCATCTACGGAGTGACTCCTGCCTTCCTGCCGCAACCATGTCTGCGGAAGAGCCAGGTTTCTTTTGGGGGGACGCACACGGCCAGTGGGGTCCCACCTCATACACCGACGGGTATGGATACGACTCAGGCGTCCCTGAAGCACGACGCTGTGGGCGGGCTGTGGTTCAGCTCGACCCGATATCGCGGCTCCCAGTTAGAGCACGCTATGGGCCCCTGCCGTACCTGATGCAAACGGTCGGCCGTGCCGAGCGGTATGCTATCAAGGAAGGCCTCGAAGCATTCCCCGATCATCAGTGCTTCGTCACCGACCTGCTGGCACTTGCCCAGGAAGGTGAGCGGTGGTGCCCCGAGCTCGAGATGGGGCGCGCCAAACACGCCAGGGCGTGGCGGGGCATCTTCGGAGCCAGCCGCAGGCGTACCTTGACGTACCCTCCCAAGTTACGATGGGCGCCTGCCCACAGATCCCTGGATGAGCTGGTCGACGCGGGCCCTTTGGAGCTGCGAGATTGGCTAGGCAACGGATGGGCGGACTTCTTTGCGAGATGCGGGGCGGTTACACATGCCCTCGCTGGGTCGGTTGCCGAGGCTGTCACGGCGGCCCTCAAGCAGCACCGCAAAGTCCTGCAGTTCATCTCCTGGGCGGCGTTGCAGGTGGTGGTGCGCAAGCGATGGGGGATTGATGAGGAAATCCCCAAGCCGCCAAACGAGCAGGTCAAGCCCATTGTGGTGGCTAGAAGCACGGACCATGTCCTAGCCTTCAATGCGCACCTTGGGCGGTATCGATGCATCTCGTGCGGCGCGACGGTCACAATTGCGTCCTCGCTCGACTCGCTACGTTCTGGGTCACTGCGTGTCTGTCGACCCACGCGCGCGTGGCTGCGGCCCTCAACGCCGAGTATTTCCGCGACTTCGGCAACGGCTGGGTCTACTACCGAGACGAGAGGGTCGGCATGGCGCTTTGTGCGGCTGCTGCTTTCGATTGGGACCCGCAGCCCATACTCCCCGAGACGCTGCCGCAGCGCATGGCAGTGACTGAGGAGGCTACTGTCGCCTTTGCCGCGTTGGGGCACGACGTCTTCAAGGGTGGCACCGTGTACTGCTGCAGGCGCTGCGGTGCTCACTGTGTCGCAGGGGATGTCCGCACCGTGCGCAAGCTCGGCTTGAAGTGCGAGGGGCTTTCGCTGAATGAGTCCACGCGTCGCAATCAGAAGGGTGCGATTGGGCGGGTCGAGCGGGGACTTGCGCCTCGAGCGCGCCGACCCCCAGCGGCGCTTGGGCTGCGGGGCTAATTCATCGGGCCCGTGCTCGCGATGGCCCGACCATGTCGGTGATTCGTTACATTTTTGTGCCTGGGTTGTGGCTCGACTCCCTCTACGTTGGCGTCGGCATCTCCTACGTTTTTGTGCCTGACGTTGGCCTCCCGCATTGAGGACCCCGGGAACCAAAGGGCTTCGCAGGCCAGGACGTTGCCAGATCCAGCGGGGTGGAACGAAGACCGAAACATGTTTCGGCAAACGATTGCAGCTTGCTCGGGCGTGCTAACGTCTTGGTTTGCCGCAGTCGCCGTTCGCGGGCCCCTGACAGGGCCGCCTACACGTCGCGATTTGATTCGATTCGGCTAGATGTATCGGCGTCGGTCAGGGCCAGGAGGAGCCAGGCGGGGCGGTCCGATTTCGATTCCACCCGGAGATGCCGCGCTGGCGATCCCATTCGCCTCCGATCCAGTCCACTTTGCGATTCGATGCAGCTCAGTGCTGCCTGACTTTTGTTGCTCCTCCGATCATCTCGGCCTCCCAGATGGGGTCCGAGTAGATGGGGTCGGGGGATCGCGCCGCATCGCCGATGCATCGGCGATGCAGCGATGCGGAGACTGACGTTCTCCACGCCGACGGCGCCGATGCATCGCCGGCGTCGCCGATGCATTGCCGATGAGGCGCGATTCCGACCCCATCTACGCGGGCCCCATCTGGGGGGCCTCTGCTTGTACTCCTTCGATCCGCCGCTCCCCAGGGACCCGTACCGTGCCGTTTTTTTTTTATACATGCTCCGCGTGCGGAGCATGTATTGACATGCAGGGGTTCAGCATAAAAAACAGCAATGAGTTCATGCATCAATTTGTTCATACACTGCTCATGTATTCAAAATCCTATATATATGTTTTAAAATCCGATGTATTAACAACTGCCCTGTACCAGGTTTCCAGGCGCTGCGGGCCCGAATGTCTCGCCCGGCGCCGGCCTCCCCCCCGAGGCGCTGCGGCAGTGGCGGCGCATCCCGGAGCTCGTCGAGGTGCACGCGTCGCACGTCGACACCTTCAAGAAGCTGCGGAGGGGCGCGCCTGGGATGCGGCTGCACGACGGGGAGCACGAGGCGGAGGCGGAGGAGGAGGAAAAGGAGGAGGAGGAGGAGGAGCCAAAAGGAAAAATAATCATAAGAAGAAGAAGAAGAATAAGAAGAAGAAAAAGAAGAAGAAAACGAAGAAGACGAAGAAGAATAAGAAAAAGAAGAATAAGAATCAGAAGAAGAATAAGAAGAAGAAGAAGAAGGCGACGGCGATGGCGACGGCGACGGCGACAGCGACGACGACGCGAATCGGGCGAAGCAAGCCGCTGCGGGCGCGGAGGAGCCGGAAGGCCAGAAAGTAAGCCAAAGTGCCAGGGGCCATGGCGCAGCCAAGGCAGCCCCGGGCGCAGCTCTCCAAAGGAGAAGATTACTCGTTCTCTGTTTCTTCATTGCAGCCCTCGGCTTACCGTACGCAAGTGCTCGAGATGATCAACATTGCTACGGAAAAATGGAACCGAATACCGACAGCAGTCCCTGTTGATTCTGAACAGGGTTCGCTGTCGGTGTCGCCGCGGCCGTTGTCCATTTGAGACAGAAGGCCGCTTGCACAACAGCGGCCGCTGTCCGTTTTAGACCACCTCTGTTGTTGGGCATGCTTGGCATCGTACCAATGTTTCCCGTACCCACGTCGGGCGCCCAAAGGTGCGCTCGGAGCCCGAGCGAAGATCCAGAAGGTGTGTGTGTGTGTGCGTGTGCGTGTGAAAGGTATCTGTGCTTGATTTGCGTACTGCGTGCGCGGCTCTCGGCACGCAGTCGCCATACCTCTCTGCCCCAGCGTCTTCAGGCAACTGCTGGAGAGAATCCGGCTAGAGCCAAAATGGCGACGGGAAGCTGGCCGATCGCGGGAACGTCAGCCGCAGGGTGGAAGGAACGCTCCAGGGTGGCAGCTCCTGGGCAGACGCCATGGGCTCCCCGCGCGCCCACCGCCAGCACGTCATCGGACGGCGGGCCCCCTCCTCCCCTGGGATCCGACGCCGAGGACAGCTACAAAAAGCCGAGACAAAGATACCGCCAGAGCCCCGGGCCCCCTCCTCCTGCGGCGCGTTCCGAGCCAGGTCGATCCATGATGGCCCTGGGCTCCGAGATTGTATACAAACGACCGGTGTCAAAGATTGAGGAGGAGGAGGAGGAGGAGGAGGAGGAGGAGGAGGAGGAGGAGTGAGGAGTGAGGGGGGCTGGGGGAGTCCCAGATCTCGGGCAATCTGATTGTTTCAGCCCGCCTTTTTGTTTTTTTCGATTTCGGCACCTGGGGGGGCGTCTTCGGGCCCAGGGGCCATCAACAATTGATCTGGGACGGGGAAACGCCCCCAGGCATGCGGTCGGGACTTTTGGGCCGCGGGCTCAAGCAAGATATCGGTGAATGCACTTATGGGGAACAAGCTAAGTGCGCTCGCGCCACATTTGACACCCAAGCCCTCCCACCCAGATCCTTCCATGGCGCGTTGGGTTCTCTTCTATCTGCCGGCGCGGGGGCCCTACAGGGTATTCATCCCCAGTGCACCCATCGTGCGATGCGCAATCGTATCGGGGGGTGCTGTACATTGGAGGGGGAGGACCAGTGGACCAGGAGGGCGCGGTTGAGCAATAGATGAGTAGGAGGCGAAAGCAGGAGGAGGAGGTGGAGGAGGAGGAGGAGGATGAGGAGCAGGAGGAGGAGCAGGAAGGGGGACCATCATCAGGAGGGGCAGGAGGATCAGCAGATGGAGGAGGAGGAGGGGAAACGAGGGTGTGGCAACGACGAGGAACGGATCGAACCCAGAGGTGTGGCCCGCCATTGTTTCGACAGGAACAACACCATTGTGTCGACGGAAGCAAAGCACCGACCCGAAAGTATAGCAAGCGTTGCCGCGGGAACACGGTTTTTGAAAGACCGAGAACGTCTGGAGTGCAAAAACACATGGGAATATTGAATAATGAAGCCTCGCGCATGTGTGAAAGCAATACGCGAGGCAGGCGGCGACAGCACTGGGCAGTATCAGGGAAGAGAGGAGACCAGCACCCACGTCGAGTAGCTGTGGGAAGGAGGGCAGGGAGGAGTGGGCGTGGAAATGAGGAGGAGACGGAGGAGGAGGCGGAGGAGGAGGAGAAGGATAAGGAGGAGAAGGAGGAGGAGGCGGAGGAGGAGGAGGAGAAGGATAAGGAGGAGAAGGAGGAGGATAATTAGAAGGAGGAGGAGGATAATCAGAAGCAGGAGAAGGAGGAAGAGGAGAAGGAGGAGGAGGAGAAGGACAAGGAGGAGGAGGAGGAGGAGGAGGAGGCGGAGGCGGAGGCGGAGGAGGAGGAGGGAGGGTTTGGGGGCTTCGCCGCAGAGGCAAGAGGGCGCGGACGGAAACGGGCCCCAGCCCTCCAGGGCGCTCCCAGGGCCGGCTCTTCACCGGCCACGGGCGAGGCCTCCTCCTCCTCCTCCCCCTCCTCCTCCCCCTCCTCCTCCTCCTCCTCCTCTCCTCCTCCTCCTCCTCCTCCCTCCTCCTCCCCCTCCTCCTCCTCCTCCTCCTCCTCCTCCTCCTCCTCCTCCTCCTCCTCCTCCTCCTCCTCCCTCTCCTCCTCCTCCCAGGGCCGGCTCTTCGCCCCGATCCGTTGTTCACCGGAAAGGGCTCCGGCCCGTGGCTCTCTTTGAGTTGTTGGTGCCCAGGGAGGGCCTCAGGGAGGGCCTCCGGAGGCTCCCATGAAGCCATCAGGAGTATCCCAGGGGGTGCAAAAGCATCGGGAATTCAAGGAGTGCATGCTTCAGGCGATCCACAATTAGAATTGCAAGCGCCAGCTCTCACACAATACCCATGCACGTCCCACCCTTTCCCTCCATCATGGCCCGAGCCTTGGCATGAGCATCTGAAGACCAACGCGCGCCTGGCAACTTATGTTTGGTGACCGTCCAGATCTTGCCAGGCATACGGTGTCACCGCGCTACCCCCCAAGGTATAGCTGGGTTGGGCCCGACCCAACACCAGGCCATCGAAGGGGGGGAGGCAAAAGGATACAGTTTGGGCGTTGGCCCAAAGAACGGCAAATAAGGAACGAGGCCAATGGTTCTCTTTGAGATGTTGGTCGTCTCCAAACTCGGGGGCGGCCTCGAGGGGGGTGATGACTCGGGGGATCGGATCTCATGGTGTGGGCCATGATATCTCCTCAGATTTTATGGCGCTGCTTCTTACTTCATTACGTCCACGCCTCACCCACCCCGAGGGCCGCGCACATGCTGCCGACCATGATTTGCGCCCCCCACTCTTGCACGCCCCCTTCTTGGCCGCCCCTGGCAAACGTTGTGGTGACAACACCTGGCGGTGAGTCTCGGGCGATTCGGTGTCACCGCCCGGTTTGGGGACTCGTGTGGTTTTTCGAGGATGTGCCGAACGTTGGTGGCTCCAGGAGTCGCAGAGCCCAGTGGCGACCCCGTGTTCCAAAACCCGGCGTGACTTTTGGGGGGATTCCAGGTCACCACCAGATGTCTCACCAATTGGGTTGGGAGCTCCCAAAGTTGGTAAGCCGTCCCCGGTGCCAAGTTCGATGAGGGCCGGCATATGTCCGCTCGATGGAAGCGAGAAACGTGTGCGGCTCGCCCGTGCCCGCTCCCCCCATCTCGGATCTTCGTCGCCTGACGGAGGCCGCAGACTCCCGCTTCCTTCGGTAGAAAACATGGCGCGGGAAGCACGTGGTCACAGCCATTGCGGCCTTCGGTGGAGCTCCCTATGGGGCCACGGAGCGCCGTGCTGGGTGGCGCGTGACGCATATAAGCACAGCCACTGGGGCATCCCGTGAAGCTCCCCACGAAGCGCCGTTTTGGGTGGCGTGTGGCGCATGTGGTCACAGCCTCTGTGGCCTTCGGTGGAGTTCCACGTGGGGCCACGACGCGCCGTACGCGGTAGCGCGGGGCGCATGTGATCACAGCCATTGGGGCCTTCGGTGGAGCTCCCTAGGGGGCCACACAACGCCGTATTGGATTGCGCGGGACGCATGTGATCACAGCCACTGGTGCCTTCGGTGGCGCCCTCTTCTGGGGCCACGAAAACCCCGTATTGGGTGACGCGGGAAGCATGTAGTCACAGCCGCTGCGGCCTTCGGTGGAGTTCCCTAGAGGGGGCCATGAAACGCAGTTGTAGGTTCCGGGGACGCATGTGATCACAACCTGTGGGGCTCCAGTGGGGTCCCTATGGGGCCACGAGCCGCCGTACTGGGTGGCGCGTGGCGCATGTGATCACAGCCAGTGGTGCCTTCGGTTGAGCTCCGTATGGGGCCACGAAGCGCCGTATTGAGTGGCGCGTTATTCATGTTATCACAGCCGTTCGGGCTTCCGATGGAGCGTATTAATGGGGCCACGAAGCGCGATTCTGGGTGGCGTGGGACGCATCTGATCACAGCCACTGTGGCCTTCGGTGGAGCTCTCTATGGGGCCACGCAGCGCAGTATTGGGTGACGCGGGGCGCATGTGATCACAGCCATTGGAGCTTTCGGTGGAGCTCCCTATGGGGCCACGAAGCGCCGTACTGGGTCGTGCGGGCGTCATGTGATCACAGCCACTGGGGCCTTCGGTGGAGCCCTTTACTGGGGCGTCAAAAACGTCGACCTTGGTGGCCCGGGGAGCATGTAGTCACAGCCGCTGCGGTCTTCGGTGGAGCTCCCTTATGGGGCCACGAACCGCCGTACTGGGTGACGCGGGGCGCACGTGATCACAGACCCTGTGGCGCATCGGTTGAGCTCCCTATGGGGCCATGAAGGACTGCACTGGGTTGCGCGGGCGTCATGTGATCACAGCCGTTGGGGTCTTCGGTGGAACTCCATATGGGGCCCCGGAACATTGGACTGTGTGCGCTGAAACGGTGGACATGTGGAGGGCAGAGGCAAGGGTGGGAGGAGGGGGAGGAGGAGACGCGGGGCGCTGTCTCTTCAAAACAAGGACCCACCACCACAGGATGGTTGGGAAAAGCGGCTCGTGATGAAGTGCGCGGCCTCGGTCCAGGACCCGCTTTCCTTCTTGCTAGCTAGATAGGGCCTCGCCCGCTCGGCCTTGCGCGGTCTCGGTTCTCTTTTCCCCCGACGCCCTGCTGGAGCCTCCTGGCAGCTCTCGGGCCCGAGGGTGGGACAGGCGTGGTCTTCGAGGCGACTCTGGGCTGAAGATGTGCTCGCTCGTTGTTGTCTCTGTGCAGAGAGGGGGGCCTGCCCCCCACGGAGTCCCCGCGCTCGGCGAAAGGACGGCACACAAACGCTGGCGGAGCGAAGACTGCGGCGGGCTCCGTCGGCAGAAGGTGGGCGGAAGGCGGCGGAAGTGCAGGAGGGGTGGCTTTGCAAAAAAACGAAGGATTGCAAACAAAAAACCTTCGTTCGAAGGGTTTTTTTTTCGTTGCAATCCTTCGTTTTTTTTGTTTGCAATCCTTCGTTTTTTGCAGTCCTTCTTTTTTTTTTGCAATCCGTCGTTTTTTTGCAATCCTTTGAGTCCCAGGAGTCCCAGCCCTTTTTCCCCGGGGCTGGTTTCCCCCCCCCTCCCAGTCGTTGTTGATGGCGGCCCCGGGGCCCCGCGAGGCCCCCCCCCCCCCGGGGCCGAAGACGGCACGGCGAAGAGCCTCCGCCTTCCAGTCGCTCCCCTCGCGCCGATCGTCGCCCTCGTCCTCGTCCTCGTTGTCGTCGTCGTCGTCGTCGTCGTTTGAGTCCGTCGCGTGCGGTTGGTTTTGGAGGTGGGCCTGGGCGTCACGACGGATGGCCACGTATACAGTCGGGGCCCTGAAGAAGGAGCCCTTTTGGTTGGGGAGGGGCTCGGTATTCCTTAAGTGTTTCGCAGCTTGCCTCAGGTTGTCCTTATGTTTCCGATAGGAAACCGAAGTTTAACTTAGGGAAAAAAGGAGCCTCGTTCCTTATTTAGGGTTCCTTAGGTCAACGCCCCGACTGTATTATCGTGTAACAAAGTCACAGATTCCGCATCGATGTTTCCCACCTGAGTTGACCCCCCCGGGGAAAGGGTCGGAAGTACATGAGGGGTGCAGACCCAGGGTTTCCGTAGTCGGCCACATGTGTCGCGGCAGAACGGGCCTCGCCCTCGAGAGATCGAGAGGTCGACATCTCGTCTTTGGCGTAACTTGGTTGAAGTAGAGTATGCACCGCCAAACTAAGCCAGTTTTTTGAGGAACTTCAAGAATTCCGTAACGGGTATCGTGGGTCGGGGATGGGGTCAAGAGAGAGAACGCAGCTCAGCGCGAACAGGAGCGATGTTGCAGGGTGGCCAGTAGAAGCCAACGCTGTCGCCAGCGTTGGACACCGAGAACATCGCACAGGCGGGCGCATGAGCTGTGGTGTGCGGGTGACGCGGTGGGGCTCCAGTGGCGTTTGCTTTTGCCAGCAGCAGTCGCGGATGAGGGCAGGAACATCGACAGAAAGATGCAGGCGTTGGAGGACGTCATGTTCATTGATATCTTGGCTGTCGGCCAATTTTTTCGACCCCCCCGCACCATGACGGCGGTCTTTGCGCTGCGTTGACGCGGCGGCGACCTTAGCGAGGGCGTTCGCGCTTAAGCGCCGATGTCGAGTGATCTGCGCTATCGGAGAGCCCCAATCGTTCAGGGCTGAACGATCCACGCGGCGTCAGAAACCAACGACTGTGACATCGCGACGCGGAACAGCCGGACAGTCCCCTCTGGGGCCCCGATTCTGGCCAGAGTCTGCGTTCTCCCTTGCAGCGCCGACCAGGATATCCTCGACCTGGCGGAACTCGACCGGCGTTCATGCCAGTGCCAGTGTGCGTTGATAGCCAGCCAGCTGCGATGTCTTGGGACCCTTCGGCTTTCCAGAACCGCGAGGATACAGTCAAACGAAAAACCTTCCGATACTTGTAGCAGCTCATGCTGGTACAATTCCTGGCGACCCTGGGCCAACATTGGCGCAAATTATCAGTTAGGTTTGCAGTGCTTGATTCAGAATCCAGCTTCTTGGGGATCTTGCTGCATCCCAGCACCCATCCAGAGACCCAGCGGACGTTGGGATGGCGAGAAGGCCAAATCAAGAAAACGTAGTTCAATGATTGTGGCTTGTCTTTGGTGCACGGTGGCGTAGTCGAATGCCGTCTTTGAGCATTGTGTACGCTTGTTGGGTTGTGCTGTCGCCACCACGTGCACAAGTCTTAGATCCAGGACTCCGCTGTTCGCAGCGCTCCCGTATCGTGGGAGCTGTCGGATTCCGTCAGCCACCTCCGTGCTTTTACCGAGATCATAGAGCAGGCCTTGCGGCGGCCGATGGGTCACTCTCGGCGGCGAATGAGAAGGGGCGGACTTTTCTCAGAAGGCTCGGAGGTCCCCCGGCCTTCTGAGAAGTTTTCGAAGCTTTCCCCGAAGACACAGAAAACCGGTCAGAAGGCGCGAGGCCTTCTGAGAAATCACGCCGCCTTCTGAGAAGGCCGTATCCTTCTCACTTTCCCCCCCCCCGTGCTTCGGGGGTGGACAGGCCTCCTACCCTGACACGTCGATGAGCGAATTGGCCGTTTTCGAGTCGCAAGAGGGCGTCGCGGCCGCCATTTTTGCGGTTTCAGGTCCGTCGGTGTCGGTCCCAGGCCGTTTTCACTAAAGGGCGGTTTACTGAAGGGAGGTTGGTCCACCGCCGACTGCTCGCCACCGAGTCCTTCGTCCGATCCACGGGGGCCCCGCGGAGTGTGTGGCTCGCAGCTCGCCCGAGCAGCACAGCGGCCGCGCAGCGCCGCTCCGCGTCTTCGCCCTCGCCTCCCGAGCGGCGCTGGGCGGTGCTGCGCGGCGTGGGGTGCCTTGGCATCGCTCGGACGTGTGCATTTTTCCTTCGGCGAGGACCATCGAGGAGCATCCTTGATCATTTGGCGAAAAAGCCACGCACGAAACCGAACAAAAACACAGGGAATGGACGTCCGAGCGATGCCCAGTTGCCGAGTCGCTTCCTCGAGGCCCTTGTGGAGCGGACGCGTCAGGGCGGATGGTCGGAGGTAGGAGAAGCGACACCAACACCACCAGGGGGGCCCACCTCCAGCGAGGAGGCCCACGGTGACTCCCCGTGCTGGGGGCCGAGGATGTCTCAGGCGAGAGGGGGGACCACACCACCAGGACGACCCCCCTTGCCTCCTCGCATCTCCTCGCCCTGGTGGTGTTGGTGTCGCCGTTCCTTGTTCCTAGATGGTGGCCTCGGCAGCAGCATGAGCCGAGCGTCCAGCAGGACGCGTGGGCAGAGGAGTGCGCAATGGGCAACCCTCCAGAAAATACTATAGGACAGACGGCGCGGAGACTCAGCTGCGAAGCAAGAGTTGCGAGCATCGCGATTGTGACAGGGAAGAACGGAGCACGCCACGACTGTGAAGCAGAAAACAAAACGCCCGACAGTGAAACATAATCTTCAAGCCCCACGAATTCGGAGCACCGTGAAGAGGGAATGGGGTAGGGAGAGGAAGGGGGAGGAAGGAACGTTGCAAATGCAAACTAAAAGTGTCAGGAAAGCGCGTGCACTGACGACTCCCACTGTTGATGGGGCTGGCCCGTCTTGCGGCGCGCAGGCCAGTCTTGGGGGAGCCCGCTTGCATTGGAAAGTAGACGATTACAACTGAAGTGTCTTCATACGTAGCGATCTTAGTGTGCAAATTGTTTTGGCTGCAAAGAAGCATGTGTGAGCGATTACGCCGATGCCTTGGACGCATGCGGGGGTTGCCACTGGGGCCTTCGGTGGAGCTAGGGGGCTGCGAAACGTGTGAGGGCTGTGCCGACCTGAATGCCTGGAACGCATGCGGGAGGCGCCACTTGAGCTTTCGATGGGGCTTCCCAGGGGGCCGCGAAACATGTGAGGGGTGTTACTTAGTCATGCCTGGGACGCATGCGGGCGGCGCCATTGAGGCCCTCGGTGGAGCTCCCTATGGGGCCACGAAACGTGTGAGGGGTGTGTCGAAATGAGCGGCTGGGACGTATGCGGGCGGCGCCATTGGGGCCTTCGGTGGAGCTCCGGGGCCACCAAACATGTGAGGGGTGTGCCAAAATGGTAGACATGCGGAGAGCAGAGTCAGGGATGGGAGGATGGAGTAGGAGGATGAGGGAGGAGGAAGGCGAGGAAAGGAGAGGAGAAGCGGGGCGCTGTCTCTTCACAGCGAGGACCAAACACCACAGGAGGGTTGGGACACATCTTGGCGGTAGCACCATAAGATGTATCAGCGTGGCTCACTGTTGTGGTCAGTCATTGTTTCTAGTGGCCAGCTGATCTTGGGCAGGGACTGAGGCTGCAGAGGGGGGGCTCTGAAGTGCAGGGGTTCCCCTGTCGGCTGGTCGGAGGCTCGGGGGTGATATCGCAGTGGAATGGAGAGCCCCCCTCGGGAGATCAGTTTCGGTTTCGTATTCGCGTCGTGCCTGCGGGCGAGGCGACGGTTCGTGGGCGCGCGAGAGAGATGACCCCGCCGTCGCTAGGGCGATTCGGATGCAGTGGACCGCCCCTCCGCCCCTGGTGGGCGCGCGGTGGCCCGGGGTGTCCCGCCGTGGTGTCCTGTGGTGGTCCGCCTGTGTTCCGTCTGCGGTGCGGGAGTCCCGCCTTGGAATGGATAGTCGGTAGTGAGATCGATAATGAGATGGTTAAAATGGGATGGATAGTCAGATCACAAGTCAGATCGATAGTGAGGTTGATTGTGACATTGGTTGTGAGATCGATAGTGAGATTGATCGAAGGATCGATAGTGATATCGATAATAAGGTCGAAAGCGAGAACTGTAGTGAGATCTATAGTGAGATCTATAGTAAGATCTATAGATTGGGATCGATCGAGTGTGATCGATCCTGCGAGGTCGATAGTGGAATCGATCGAGGGAGATCGAAAGCGGGGACGAGAGTGACATTACATCGCAGCGCAACATCGTCGTCACGCGACTTCGCTTACTCGAGGGCGCGTCGCCAGCATCGTCATCATCACACCCATCACGTTTGCCAGCAGTTGGTTCTTCCCCCCCAACCCCCCCTCCCTCCTGATCCCCCGAAAGGGTGGTCGTATAGGTAGATTGCAGTTTTGGGGGGGGGGCATCGGAGATGTGTGGCAGGGAGAACGCGCATCCGCTGCTACAGCCGCTCCCCCCCCCGGGGGCACCCTGGGAGGCCGTCAACGACCGCAGGACGGTGGTGGTGATGTTGGCCAGGGCGATGCTGAAGCTCCAGGAGCAGGACAGGGGTCCCCCTCCCCTCTCGGCGAGGAGGAGGAGGAGGACGGCGGCGAGGAGCCCCAGGCCCCCAGCGCCGCCGCGGCAATCGATGACGCGGCGATGTTGTCCTCTGGGCTTCCCGGAGGGCTCCACGAGGGACAGACCGGCATGCCGCGGGTCGCGAGGTCCGTGCGAGGGCGAGGGGTTCCAGAGCGAGGGCGGCGCAGACGGAGCAATGACACAAGGCAGCGGAGGTGGAGCCAGAGCTGCAGGATCCGGTCCGCTTTGGCCCCGCAAGTGGCTCGCTTTATGGGCATATCTTTCACCACCGCTACCACATGTAGGACGGGGGAGAAGGGAGGATGAGGAGGTCCTCCTTCTCCTCCTCCTCCCCCTCCTCCTCCTCCTCCTCCACGTCCTCATCCCAAGGCATCGCCAGAGCAGGTCCAGAAGCTCCTGGAGACGGCACGATCTGGAGTTCAGCCCAAAGTTGAATCATTAGCGAGCAAGGCTGCCTCGCGTTCACAGGGATCTCGAGGTTAAAACGATTCGGATCCATCCCAGACCCAGACATGTGCAACCCGATTTATGTTCAGGAGTTCGCCGCATTTTACTTTACAATCTCTCGGTGTGGGGCCCCAGAAGTGCCGCAGTTTTTGCCGAGAGCGACGTTGACATTGCCATCATTCCAGAGACCCACGTCTCGGCCAGCGACACTCTGACTATGAGTATACTGAAGCAACACAGGTGGCATGGGATTGTCTCGCCAGCATACCCTACGGCCAAGTCGCAAAAACCAGGTGGTATTGTTCTCGGCATTCGGCAGCATCATTCATGGACTTCATTGCGTCACCTCTCTGATGACCCAAGTAATGTGATTGGTCTTGTGAACGTTGGTGAAAGTGCAGATACCACTGGTCCATTGCCTTTCAGAGATGTTGTTGCCTTGGGGTGGAGACTGTCTAGAGTATCTTGTATGGTGGTTTGTGTTTATCTTATTGTCGGACCTCATAGCCCATGCAACGTGAACAAGCTGCTCACGATATCAGCCTTGATTTCGAACCACTCTGGTCTTTGGGCCATCATGGGTGGTTTCAATTCCACGCTTGTGGAGAGCTTGCTAACTGGATACGCAGGTGGAGTGGACATGTTTATTTCCCGACAGGCATCGCCCACACCTCCACCAGAGGCAAGGACTCGCGCAGCGTCGACTACGCCATCGAATATTTTGATATTTGTTTGTTTTACCGCGATTCGATTCAGATTGATGCAGAAGGTGGCGATCATTACGGCATGGCTTTGGAAACGAATATTGATTCACAGTGCGCCGCTCGCCGTATCCTTGATCTGCCCAGACTTTTTCTACCGCAGCTACCAAGCAACATCCGGACAGACCCTGACAGCAATCGCTCACGAAAGAAGCGCGAGCTCGATCTCAGGCGTCAGCATAACTATGCGCATCATGAACAGCAGGAGCAGCAACACGACACGAAACACGGGAATACCGACACCGATGACGAGGATAATCTGGCTCAACCTCAGGTCGCAATGCTGTTTTTCATTTTGAGAGGATGCTCGCAAGTCCCGACACCGAGATTTTCACGATTCTGATTCGGAGGCTCTCCAGCGCATGTGGCAGACGCATACCAGCGAGACCAACAACGCCAAGACCAGCAAACACGACGATGACTGCGATCCTTCCAACTATCTTTACTGGTCTACTCTTGATCTGGACGAGTTGTGGAATGGCATCGAGAGTCGTGCATTGCCACATTCTGCCTGGGCGACGCCGCCAGATTGGATCCAGATCATTCGTTCGTATCAGTCTGGTCCTGACGCCGCTGTGACCCCGGGTAAAGAATATGTGTGTGTGTTCGTCAGTTGTCTTGAGAGGTTTTTTACGACGTGCCTTCGGCGCGCCACCAGAGCGAGCGCGGCAATGCCGCGGCCGAGGAGAGGCCCGTGCTTTCAAATTGGTGTCTATGCCGCAGACCACACCAACGCGCTCGCATTCAGATGCTTCAATCAAATGGTGGCTGCAGGTTTCAGGATGGATCGACGAGCTCATCAGAGTCAATGATGGTATGGGGTGCACCGCTCCACATGCGCTTGCCGCCTCTACGGGGGACGGCGAGCTTCCTCCCCCATCCCCCGACTTGCCGCACAACGGCATCGAAAACCATGAGGTCAAGGCCGCACCGAGAAGAGACTTCGCGGTGCACCAATTGGCGCAGGCACCAGCAGACATGCCTTTATCTGGGCACGGCAGACTCGTGGGCAGAGACAGGCAGGATTGGGCCAGTACCCATCTGACTGTACATAACCTCTCGCATGGCGCTTTCAGCACGATGGCAAGATCGGCGCTTCCTGGGTTGACGATACCACGCAGTCTGCATATGGCTCCGTCGGATTCCCCTCGGAGGCCCTCGCCAAAGATGGGCCTCTCTTGGGCAGGCTGCACGACAAGTCGAACGTTGAGTACTGCCAGCAAAAGTAAGATCATCGCTGGGGACAACAATCTGGTTACATATTTTGCACGTGAGCGGGCACAGTCCAGTAGAGCGACTACGGTAGCACACAAAGCTGTTGACCTCGGCGCCGATAGAGGCACGAATGTGCGATCACGTCCTACAGCAGCAGCACGACGAGCAGCAGCGTGGAAACAAGTCAGCAAGGCACGCAAGCTCGCAGGAACGGTCGCACTGGCAAGCGCGCAGCACGCAGGGACACCTGTCAGGAATGCTGCGCTAAAGTACAGCACGATGCAGCAGTGCACGACATGTGTCCTCCGGCAGCGCAGGCTTGGCTCCGAGCAATTGGAGATATTTTTGCCATCTCTATTCGCGGGCGTTGCCTCGGCGCTCTGTTGCAGCTTGAGCTGGGCGACAAAGACCCAGCCATCTCGCTGGCACTTAAGATGTTCGACAGCTGGATGACCAATATGTCCCCTGGAGAGGAAGCGCGCGCATTCGCAGCGCGAGACTGGAGTTCGCGCTCCTCGCGGGCCAAGGAGAACCCCGCGCGCCGCTGGCGAATGGTTACTGGGCCCGCGAGGGCCGTCGTGCACACCTTGCTTGACATCAACTGGGGCCCCGTCGGGCCTTGGAATTGGGTCTCAGATGCATGGATGATGCGCGACAGGACTTCGCCGGAAAAGGAACATCCTATGAGTTGCAAATTAGTCTCCAAACATTGCGACAGCAACGACGTGTGCGATGGGATCGATCTGACGGGTGCACGACAGCAGCTACGACGATCTAGATATCGAGATAAACATGCCCGGGCAGGTGCTCTGATTAACGCACGCTGTGGAGGCCAATTGCCTAAGACGAGAATTCGGGACGTCATCGGCTCATTCGATTTTTCAGCCGCGCGCTATCGCCGCGACACCGGCCAGCCTGAGACCACGTTTCATCGAATTTGCAGATGTTCTGCGAATGCCAGCCACTACTCGGCCACCAGCAGCGAGGAGTACGCGCGCAGAGCACGTGCGCAGGTGGATTCTCAGCCGTCGGCATGGTTGCGGGGTCTCAGGCCAGCTGCATGGACGCGCGTATCTCTGCCGCCCGACGAGTCCGGCATTTTCGTGCTTTCGCAAGGCGAGTTCCCAGCCGACGCAGACATCGTCGGCGCGGGGGGCGCCCGGGAGGTACGCGCTCTGATCGGGCTAGGTTTCGGAGGGCATCTTGGGCTCATTCCGCGTTCCAGGGTTTCGACATCGGCAATCCCGACCCCGAAGTCACGGCTGCGGGGGTCTCTGCGGGAGTCGCATGGGGGGCCCGAGCCGTCGACCATGGAGATTTGATAGCTTTCTTGGGGGTTCTGGAAGAGCCCCCGATGGGCCATCAGACGGCCCATGTCGCGGACTCGCCCCACGTTCAGAAGAATGCTGCAAAGGATGCCTTCGATGTCTTTCCCGACGGCCACCGGAACGCATGGCGAAGAATTCAGTTGCTGCTTCGATCGAGCCCGGCGGTCACTCTGAACATCGAGTCGCACATGGCACCAGCTGGCGGCAGAGAGTACAGAAATAGCACTAACCGGGGATGGCAGCAAGATAGCCGACCGGCTGGCCGAGCAGACGGCCAAGATAATGCAGTTGCAGCCGGGGGATGCGGAAGTTGTTCCGATTTCTGAGGCCGTAGCCCGAGCTATTCGGATTCGTGCTTCTGACATTGTCCTCTCGGGGTTCTCGGAGTTTCCTGGAGGTGCTCCTGAGGAGCAGTCTCGAGTTAGGAAATAAGCCAGAGCCGAGCAGCCCCCCCCTGCTCCTCCTCCTCGCGCTTTCAACCCTCGCTCGATGCTGGCCAAACAGCTGCGCGCCAGTGCGCGCTCAATGATTCAAGTAGGTGAAGGTTCCGACTGTCGTTTGTTATGTAATATTTGTTGCTCTGCCATTTCTCTCAACTCTTACGGCAATATCCCGTCCCAGGAGTTCTTGTCCTCCCCGTGCCAGGCCGCTGTGCCCATAGCTGGGTACGAAGGTGCCAGGCAGCTCAGTAATATGTACCTCCGGGCCAGGCATTTAGATCAATATCATGACATGGTCCTTTCGGCCAAAGGCAATTACATATGTTTGACGTGTGGCAGCCATACCTCGCGCAGTGCTCAGACACTCTTCAAATAATGTACGAAGGCCACCCCAACTGGCAATGCCTATTGCGAAGGCCTTACGGCCGATGCCGCCGACCCTGGAGACAGCGTTCTGTCACTGGGGAGAAATACCAACGCCCGGTCGAATAGTTTGTTTTATAGTTTCCTAGGAGAGTTTTTTGGGGCCTCTCGGGAGCCTCTTGGGGCCTTTGTGGGCTTCCTGGAGGGCCTCTTGGGAGCTTCTCGGGGCTGAGGGCTCGAAATGTCCGTTCGGGTCCCCCGTCTGGGCGCTCTTTTGGTACCGTTTTGGGGGCCTCTTGTGAATCTGGGAGGCGTCTTGGGCCGTCTTGGGCACTTTTGGGCCGTTTGGGGGCCCTCTTGGAGGCCTCTTGGGCAGTGTCGGGGCGATCTTGGGAGCCTCTTGG